CAGAACCCAATACCTACAAAATAGGATTTAAGCCTGAATTCTGGGCCCTGAGCAGGGAAGAGACCCCACAACACGCAGGTCAAACTGAACGCCAGGTAATTAGCTCCACCCAGCAAGGTGGGGAAACCCTGCCCTCGTTTGGGTTGGAAAAAAAATCTCCAGGGGCGGGGCCCAGGAATCTCTTAAACCTTCAGCCAGGAAAGAACCTTTGTGCCGGTTAGGGTGGAAAGCTTACCTTGGTGAAAGAATAGATATTTTTTTCAGTCTCCAGGCCACTTTCTACAAACCAGTTTGAGACAAGAAAAAAGAAGCCATGAAGTTAAAGATTCTGAACAAATTTATATTTGTGCCTGCCATCTCATTAAATATTGATTTAAGATACTCTGACCTTAACTGCTATAAAGAACAGCGTTTGTAAGTGCACAGCAGATGAGATGGTATTTAATAACTCAGGTCTTGCTCCAGTTTTTTCCCTAGGATTTTTTAAAGATCCCTGGGAGTATTTGGAGTTTAAGGGGCTATGGAGATGTATTAACCTAATCCTATCAAATTCACAGTTAAGGAAATAGCTCAAGGGAGGTTGACTGAGGTCACAGTGTTCATCCAAGGCCCAGGAGGTCAGTACCCCTAACTGGCGACACATGTGGGAAGGTGTACATACACTGTAGGTACTATCTCTTATTAGCAGATGAAAATGACAATTATTTTAGAATGCACACACAAAAAAGGCTCATAGTTCTGGCTACAGGCTCATAAGGCTTCATTTTCAGAATTTGGATAATAAAGCAAGACTTAAGCAGAATGTAGAAAGAAAAACACATAAACTAGAAGCATAGTCTGAATTTTCTTGCTTCTTCCAGTTGGTGTATGTGGATTTGAAATGTATATTTGTAAAGAATAATTTGGAAGAAAAACATCTCATATTTATGATGTATACATTACTGGAAAATTATTTGTTTTAATTAAGAATGATTCATATTAATTAAGGATATTTCCCCAAAACTTAACTGAGATAGCCACATGCTAGTAAAACAACATAAACTGTTTTTAATCATAAAACTAGGCTGGGTATGTGGCTCATGCCTGTAATTCCAGTGGCTCTGGAAGCTGAGGCAGAAGGATCACAAGTTCAAAGCCAGGCTCGGCAACTAGGTGAGGCCCTAAGCAACTTAGCAAGACTATCTCAAAATAAAAAATAAAAAGGACTCAATGTTTAAGTGCCCCTGGGTTCAATTCTTAGTACAAAAAATATATATATAAAACTATTATAATACATTCCAACACAGCAAGGAAACTTCATTGTTGAAAATGTAAGAAAAAAATTCTGATGTAGAAATTATTTGTGATGTTATTTTAAATATAACTGTTTTTTAATGTGTAAATCCCATGGAAAATACTCTTTTTTGCATTCCTCATGTCTAGCTCACTGTTCTCTTAATCAAGTCAAGCGACAATTATGTTTGCAAATGTGTAAAAGGAATTCATATAGATGGAATTTTTATTAGCTTATTTTATAACTCTGAAATGAGTAAATCAGGGACTTCAGGGTTTATGTTCAGTGCAAACAAAGTGAAATTAGTGAGAATTAAGGAGAAAAGTGTATACAAGGAAAAATTTATATATATTTAATACCTAAGGTGATTGCCAGGCATAGTGATGCACACCTATAATCCCAGCAATTTAGGAGACTGAGGCAGGAGAATCACAAGTTTGAGGCGGGTTTTAGCAACTTACTGAGACCCTGTCTTGATTATAAAATTTAAAGGGGCTGGAGAGTAGGGGCTGGGATGTAGCTCAGTGGTAAAGTGCCTCTGGGTTAAATCCCTAGTACTAAAAAACAAACAAAAACCCTAAGGTGATTGTTGTATTCAAACTCCTGGATCACAATCTTTAAGGAAAAATACAGACTTTGCTTTTCTGGAATATGCTGATGTTAATCCTATAGCTATCTATAGTCGACCAGGCCCAAGCCTGAGGTGGTATCTATTTCACTAGTGAGATGTCAGGTAAATACTAGTCTGGGGGGGGCGGTGTGGACCATACTCATAAGGATCCTGAAGAGATCCCATTGGTATTTTTGTTGGGCCTCAAAGAAGCAAGATGCAATTTCTGTCTTTCTTGTTTGTATGTGTTACTGGAGATTGAACCCAGGAGCACTCACTCTGTCTCTGAGCTATATCCCCAGGTCTTTTTGTTTGGTTTGGTTTTTGAGACAGTCTCCCTAAATTGCCCAGACTGGTTTTGAACTTGCATCCTCCTGCCTCAGCCTACCTAGTTGCTGGGATTTTAGGCTTGGGCCAATGTACCTAACAAAAATATAATTTCTAAGTAATCATGTATCCTAGGGGACAAAGTTTGTCCCAGAAAAATCATGAAGTAGGCAAACTCCTTTGGGCTTCAGTGAATTTATTTCTAAAATTAAGGGGATTAGACTGTAAAAACTCCATGATGGCTTCACTTTAGCAAACCATGATATCCTTACCTCTTGGGGTTGTTGGAAGGATACACACCAGGTATTTGGTACTGGGCCTGGCACAGAGCAAGCCCTCCATGAAAGGGGTTGGAATAATGCTGGTGATGGTGATAATGCTCTTGGTTGACCAGCATCATATTTCTACATGTTGCTTCACCATGTGATCACCTACTGCAATGTCCTCCCTGTGTCACTTTTTTTTTAATATTTATTTATTTATTTATTTTAGTTTTCGGTGGACAAAACATCTTTGTATGTGGTGCTGAGGATCGAACCCAGGCCGCACGCATGCCAGGCGAGCGCGTTACCACTTGAGCCACATCCCCAGCCCCCCCCTTTTTTTTTTTAATATTTCTTAGGTGTAGATGGACACAACACAATGCCTTTATTTTTATGTGGTGCTGAGAATCAAACCCGGGTCCTGCCCATGCTAGGCAAACGCTCTACCGCTGAGCCACAATCTCAGCCCCGCTTTTTTTAATTTTTAAATTTTTGGTACTAAAGATTGAACCCAGGGTGTTTACCACTGTACAACATACCCAGTGCTTTTTGACTTGTGGGAATTTTTTTTTGTACTGGAAATTGAACCCAGGGGTGCTTAACCACTGGGACATGTACCAGCCCTTTTTTTTGTATTTTATTTCGAGACAGGGTCTCACTGAATTGCTAAGTGCATTCCTAAATTGTTGAGGCTGGCTTTGAACTCATGATCCTTCTACCTCAGCCTCCCATGCCACTGGGATTACAGGCATGCACCACCACACCTGGGTCCCTAGTGCTTTTTATTTTTTATTTTGAGACAGGGTCTTCTTAAGCTGCTCAGTCCTCACTAAATTCCCGAGGCTGGCCTGGAACTTGCAATCTTCTTGCCTCAGACTCCTAAATTGCTGGGATTACACGTTTGCACCACCATGCCCAGCTCCTGTTATCACTTTAAAAGCAAAAATAAACTCTCCTAGCCAGGCCTGATGGCCCATGCTTGTAATCACAGCTACTCTGGAGACTGAGGCAGCAGGATTGCAAGTTGAAGGCCAGCCCGGACAATTTAGTGTGACCCTGTCTGAAAATAAAAATTAAAGAAAAGAAAAGGACTAATAGTATAGTCTAGCTCAATGGTAGAGAGCCCCTGGGTTAAATCCCCAGGATTTCAAAATGTAAAATAAAGTTTAAAAAATGAAAAGAATACTATGCCATGAAAAAAATTTAAAAATAAACAATAAACTACCCTAGTCTGCAAATTGGAAGGGTTAATTTGAGACCTTTCATTTGGAGACCAGGAATTTGGCGTAACTTTCTCAAACTTTGTTAACAAAGTTTAACAGCCAGTGGGATTCAGAGTTGGATCTCACTGAATCTGCATCACATAGAAACAGGTACCTCTCACAGGCAGGAAAGTATATGTATTTTTAATCAATTGTGCTGACAGGATGCCTCCTGCAAGAGACATTAGCCTTAGATTCTTTTCACTGCTATCAAGATGGAAAACAACCCCACATTCATGAGGGGGAGAAGCAAACTGAGTTAATCAGACTCTAAGACCCACACTAATTGTTGATCAAGTAATGCCACAGTATTCAGTGCTAAGGATTTCTGGCTGGTTCCAGTTCCTAAGACTCTGTTTAGCACAGTTAATGTTTCACAAACCAAAGGATTCAGTTGGTGAAGCAGAAAGAACCATAATCAGGAGACTGATATTTTAGTTCTGTTAAAATCTGTCATTGTCTACCTTCTCTGAATCAGTCTTCACATTTCTAAAGTAAAGGAAAGGAAACAGGCCCTAACAATCATGCCAGGATCTCTGGAGAGAAAATGATGTGGTTTTTTTTGTTTGTTTTTTAAAGTACAAATTAGGGATTTTTTTTTTGTCTCCATTTATGTGAAGGTGGGTTAAAATAGTTGCAAAACAATACTAAGGGGATAAGGAAATGGCTCAATGGGTACAGCACTTCTCTATCATGCACAAGGCCAGGGACTCAAAAAACAAAAAAAGCTTTACTTAGACTAACTTGCACCAGAAAAATAGAAGTAGTGAGACAGGGCAAAAAATAAAAATGGAATGTTTCAATCTGGACAAAGTTCATGCTTTAAAACAAGAACTTTTGTTAGCTATTTTTTTAAGTATGAATTGCTTATAATTAATGTACTGGATGGAAGACTTTTTAAACAATTGCTCCAAAGTAGGCTTCATCCAAAAAACAAAAATGAAAAAAAAATGAATTGATGCTTTCTCATTTGTGTTTATTCTTGGACAATTTGTCCTGACATATTGAGGGCTTTAAAAGAATTATAGACTCACACTGCACTTACTCATCACTGTCCTCCCATCTATAGCTCAACTTCACTACCAGCAACACAAAATACAAAGATGTGTCCAGTTTCACTACAGCTCTGCGCGTTTACAAGTGTCGAGCGCTTGCTTTCGGAACGTCCTTCTGATTGGCTGAGCGAATGCCAGTGACATCAACCAACTTACTTTTGATTGGAAGGCTGGTTGCTGGGACTGTAGCGTTTGCAGGAAGTCACTTAACTGTTTGCAGGCTGGAAAACCAAAACTGAAGTTGTCTTTTGTCACAGGCTGAGTGCAACTGACTAGGGAGGAAGTGTCCCGAAGCTCTGCAAACTGGCCAGTGAGCCAGGAGGCGTGGACCGGCGGTCGGACCCCGCAGCACCCCCAAGGATGAGCGGCCGCTTCTTCCCTGCCTCCCGGCCGTTACCCTTTTAAATGTCAGCGTTCGAGACTGTAGGGGTAGCACGAGGCAGTGGAACGGAACAGTCGGATTGGCCGCACGCCTCAGTTCTAGACGCACCTCTCCACCGAAAGGCCGTTCTGACTGGCAGGGGGAGAAAGTAAACAGAGTTGAATCACCCTCCCCACTGGCCAATTGGAGGGGGTTTGGATTGTGACGTGATGGGATTCTGCGAAATTGTTACTGAGCGAGAGAATGCCGGAACGGTGCGGACCGGCCAGAGCAGGGGCTCAGCAGCCGTCCGTGGACTGGGGGAAAAGTGTGTCTTAGACCTTGCGCTCGGTCCGGTCCTGGCCACCCGCGTCGGGGTGGTGGGGTGAATGTCTAGGGGCTTTGGCTCGACGGTGAGGCGGCCGAGGGCGTGTGCTTCTCTGGCAATTTCCTCTCCCGGCGCCTCGGGGGCGTTTTCAGTCGTTTAAACTTGCGACCGCCACGTGTGGCATCTTTCCAAGGGAGCCGGCTGAGAGGGGCCGGCGCGCCTGTCGTGGAGATCGCGCCCGGAGAAGGGCAGGGATAGTGGCCGGAGGCAGCGGCGCGGCGGAGCCCCGGGCCGTGGATGCTGCGTGCGGAGGCGCTGACGGTTACGTAAAGATGAGGGGCTGAGGTCGCCTCGGCGCTCTAGCGAGTCGGAAGCGCCCCGCGCCCCCGCCCCCTTGGCCGCCGCGCCGCGCTGCGCTCGTCGTCCGAGGCCAGGGCAGCCAGAGCCGAACCTCCGCAGCCACCGCCAACTTTGACCGCGCCTCCGAGGCTGCTGTCTCCCGCACCATGTCCGCGGCCGCCTACATGGACTTTGTGGCTGCCCAGTGTCTGGTTTCCATTTCGAACCGCGCTGCGGTGTCGGAGCATGGGGGCGCTCCAGAAACCGAGCGGCTGCGACTACCTGAGCGCGAGGTGACCAAGGAACACGGTGACCCGGGGGACACCTGGAAGGATTACTGCACGCTGGTCACCATTGCCAAGAGCTTGTTGGATCTGAACAAGTACCGACCCATCCAGACCCCATCGGTGTGCAGCGACAGTCTGGAGAGTCCTGATGAGGATATGGGATCCGACAGCGACGTGACCACCGAATCTGGGTCGAGTCCTTCCCACAGCCCGGAGGAGAGACAGGATCCTGGCAGCGCGCCCAGCCCGCTCTCCCTCCTCCACCCTGGAGTGGCTGCGAAAGGGAAACACGCCTCCGAAAAGAGGCACAAGTGCCCCTACAGTGGCTGTGGGAAAGTCTATGGAAAATCCTCCCATCTCAAAGCCCATTACAGAGTGCATACAGGTTAGCAGCGTCGTCCTTTCCCCCGCGCTCTGGGGTTAACCTTTGGCCGGGCAGTGTACCTTGGCGTTCAGGACACCGCACTCGGCTTCGAGGGTGCAAACATTTTGGATAAGATGCTGTTTAACTCTTTAATAATTTAATCGTGCAGACGTGGAAAGCTCACTCTCTCCTTAATTGTCTCTGGCGTCTAGAAGCCACGGAGAGCCTTAAACTGGCGGGCAGAGCGAGTGCTTTGCGTGGCTTGGCGGGGATCGGGGCCCGCCCCGCCCCTGGCCCGCCCCGCCCCCGGGACTCCGCACCCAGGCTTGGTGGAGCCACCCCAGCTGTGTAGACGCTGGCGGTAGGAAAGTCAGATGGCGTATCTTTAATTTCATTCCGTTGTGGGGTCGCAGCGAAGTGGACGAAACGTGGGGGGAAGCTGCACATTTTACATGGAGCCATTTAGGGATGACTAAGGACTCACTTAGCTGGATGCCTGCTACTTTTCAGGGTTCGCCAAGGTGGTTTTAAATTTGGCCTAGAGTTCCCCTGAGAGGTTTAAAATGACACTGCTTCAGGCAGCAGAAGAGTTTGATCAAGTAGTGGTTGGTGGGTTAATTTCATCACTAGTTAACCTTCTCAGTGAGCGAAATTACAGAGCTAATTTTTACCCCCTGTGACTGGGGACGTGCGCTCCACCCCTGAATACCACGGTTAGTGAGGTGTGGTCCTTGCCCGAGGTCAAGGCTCTGTAGTCAATGTTGGGCGGCTCTGGAGGCTGCCAGGTCGACTTGCTCTCGGGAGAACAAGCAGCAAAGCTGGACAAATGAATGTGACTGCAAAGACATTTGCTGTATAAGCTGGGCTTTTGGAGACTTGTAGGGACCTTGGTTAGCCAGTTCTGTTGGTTCTATTTAACATGCACTGAAAAAGTTGGAAAGCATTTCGACATACTGACAATCTTTAGAAAGGTTCTTCTCTAACTGCTGTTCTGATAAGGTGGTGGTGGGGGTTGGTCCTCAACAGCTTTTCCCTCTTGTCCTAAAGACGCCATGTTTAAGAGGTTGTTGGAGTTGCTTGGAAAGGTAGCTTTTTTGGTGTAAAGGGTTGATACTTTGAAGAATTGACCCTGGGCCTTTGAGTGTCAAAATGATACTTTGTTGGGATTTTCCGTTTTGCTTTACTTTTGCTTTTGGTTTTTAAAAGAAAGGCTGTGTAACTGCCTCTCAATTTGTTTCCTTAGGAAGGATTCTTGTGGAGGTGGCTGCTGGCACAGGAATAAGTCTGAATTTCTTCTGTGGTTAATGCAAAATTAGGTCCTGTTTAGGGTCAGCATCTAGGTTGCCATAAAACAGCACCTTTTAAAGTTTCTATCTGTAAAGTTGATAAAAGGCATGTGCCTGCATTGGGGGTTGTGACCTTTAGCGTGGCTCTGGGGGTGAAGTAGGGGTGTATCCACCAGGGTGTTACTCACCGGCAGCTGTTGGGCGGGCCTGGCCCTGTCAGCCATGTTCCCGGAGTTCAGTTGTTCACATAGACACCCACTGCCACCTTGAGCAAAGACATTTTCTCCTTCAGGGAGCTGTCCAGTTGTGCAGCTGCGAAGGTCCGCAATGCCTCTGTGAGCTGGAGTCTGTCAGACTCAGGAATAGGATTTCCAGGGTTCTGGGCCATTCGGCTCAGTGCTTTTCTTAAGCATTTATAGAAATGGCTGCTTATGTGTGCGTGCATGCGTGCTGCTCTTTAATTCTCCATAAGGCAAGTCGGCTCAGCTGTTTTCAGGAGAACCTTTTACACAGTCCAGAGAGGAAAATGAAGGCAAATGTTCATCCCATTTTAAGTGCTACAGTCTTTTAAAACTAGTGATATGGTGATTGCTAGTGTCTTATTTATGTTTTTTTTTTTGGGGGGGGTGGAATCTGATATCCTAGCACATGGTTGGATAAAATCCCCAGCCTCTGTAAATGTTACCAGAAGCAGGACTTATATGTTAAGCATACTATTAAGAGACTTGTAGAGGAGGTTTCCTTCATTTGGAAGTTTCAGATAACAGCTTCAAGTTAAATCCACTTCTGGGTGGGGAAAAGGGCTTCCTGATTTTCTTTTCTTCTGGTAGTTAAATCCAGAAGGTGGACAGAGATAGCATTTAAAATGTCTGCATTCTGTGAAGGTTTAAGAGCTAGAATCCCAGCCACACCCCCTTGCTCAGTACTGCTCGGCACTCCCTTGAGAATCCCTGTGCTTGCTCACTTCCTTATAGAGCCTCCTACAGCTGCTGCTTCCATAGGAGACCAGCAACTTTAGAAGTTGAAGCTTTTCAACAAATTTTCAACCTTTTCGGTGTAGCTCCTTGCACAGTGTCCTGAGAGGAAGGAGAGTTGAGGTTAGCTGAATTGGGTTGTGACTTGTCCTTCTATTTCGTAGTTGTAAGACCCTAAGCAAATTACTTTGACTTGGAGTTTGCAAACTAGAGGTTTGTTGCTGAATTTGCTTGTGGATTTGTTTGGCCTGGCCAATATAGAGTGTACAAAAATTTAATTCGTTACCAGTGTCTAAAAATCAGGATTTCAGCACAAATCTAGAAATCTGGCTTCGGTGGAAAATTTTAAAAATCTGGCAAGATGGGACCTGAATTTCTATCTAGCAACAATCAGTTTGAACTAATCATTTATTTGTGGGCCAGTGCCTCCTATTTTAATTGTTAACATGATCTCTGCTGGCATTTTTTTTTTACAACCTCTATTTTGAGCCTCCATTTCTTAATCCACAAGATAGGGATACTATTCTAAACTCACAGGTTCTTGTGCAAAGTTAACATATATAAAGCACCCAGATGTGGCTGGGGTGTAGGTCAATGGTAGAGCACTTGCCTAGTATGCAGAAGGCCATGGATTTGATCCCCCAACACTGCAAAATTAAACACATAAAGCACTTAAGAGTCCGCATCCTTGAATAATGGTAAATCTTACACTTTGTGTGTAATATAAAAGGTGTCCTCAAAGTCAGGGAACACAGGATAAACTATTTTTTCCCTCTCAGTACTGGGAATTGAACCCAGGGATGCTTTTTACCACTGAGCTACATCCCAAGCCATTTTTATTTTTTAATTTTGAGATAGGATTTCAATAAATTGCCAAAGCTGGCCTCAATTCTGTGTTCCTCTGCCTCAGCCTCCAGAGTTGCTGGGATTATGGGTGTGCTCCATCACTCCTGGCATGTGTTAGTTTACATTTTCAAATAATATGTTCAATTTGATTTCCCTTAGCTTCTGGACCAGATATATCTGTTCAGTTGATAAGCCTAAAGTTTAAACAATGGATCAGCAGATACACTCTGTCCTGATCTCAGACTTTTTAGACATGGGTAGCAGACCAAAATGAATCAGACCATACTGCTGTTATTTGAAAATGTAACATTAAGTGTATCTTAAGTCTCCTGACTTTGTGGATCCAGATCCGCTGCACAGGGCATATATGTGTATTTTGGGGTGGGGTGGGGGTGTATCCTTTGGAGAAAGAAACAACTACATCTTATTCCAGATCTGAAGTCATCAGAACAGGCTGATATAGTCACACTGGGTTAATATACAATCAACAGAAACCTTAGACCTTGTTTTCATGTCTAAGAGTATTTTATGTTATTCTTTTTGGAGGGTAAGTCAGCTGTCCTCAATAGGTGACAGTAGGTTGAGCTGATGATACTGGTGACTGGAGTCTGAAAAATCCATCCCAAATACCAACCATCATGGCCCAATTTAGAGGAAAAGAAAATGACAGCTTTTATTAATAAAACAAAAGGAAACTTCTGTAAAATAAGGAGTGGTGAGAGCTGCAGCAAACCCGAGGGGCTGCCTGTGCTGCTCCTTATCCTATTGGACCGTTTTCTTGGGGTATTTAGGCTTCCTGGTAGAAGGGATCTGCATAGCCCCCACAGCAGAAGTCATTCTCCAATAGAAGAAATAGGTTTTTCAGCTCCTCTAGAAATGTCCATTACTGGTCCTCTCTAACTCAGGTAAAAAGTTTGTTTACACAGGTGCCAGGTTTTTCTGAGCCTCTTGAACTCTTCTTCCAAGCTTTGGAGTCGCCTATTTGGTCAAGGGGAGTCTAGGACCATCAGAGGTGTGAGTGGGATCCATTTCCTTTCCCCAAGGGGCAAGGCTTCAGGGACAGGCTCTTGCTCTGACCCCAGGCCCTGACTAAGGGACCTTGGCTGCCCATGAAGCCACACCTGCCTGGTCCTTACCACTTTCTCTTTTCTTCCTGAGTGGAACAGAGACCCTGTACCCTGATCCTTAAAGGGGCATTCTCTCTGTCGGATTCTTTCCAGAAAGACTCTCCAGACTGATTGGGAGAGTGGCATTTCATAACAACTAAGCCTAAGGGGGGCTTGCACAGGTAAATGTTTCTCTACCCTTTTCCCATTCTCTCTCCCTTAATGAGACTAGACTTTTTAATAAACGATTGCCCACACCTCTGCCATGATATTTTAATACCACAGTCATATTATAGAGCTGTTTATGGACTGTGACCTTTTAGAAAGCCACAAACTATTGTGAGTGAAAACTTAAGTTTTTTTTTTTTTTAAACCCTCCAAAGCACTAATTTTTGCCCCCTTGGGGACAATGTCACATTACCCCCCCCCAACACTCCCCAATAGAATGAAAACACACTTGTAAGTATCCTGTTAGGGAGAAATAACGATCTGCATTGGAGAACGGGGTGTATGTAGATGGCCTCTGCAGACAGAAGGTTTCTAAGCATGCAGGGTTCCTATGGGTTTGCTTCTGTGTTGGGCCAAAGGTGAAGACTTCCATGAATCCAGAGATGGATGGCCCCACAGTTCTCCAGCCCACCGCCAAAGTCACCCCATAAGGATGGGGAAGCTAGGCATTGCTCTTATTCCTAGTAGCGAAAGGGGTAAAGGACCCGTTGCAGTCCTTCCCTCATTTCTCACTTGTCCCCCATCATCCTCCATCTATCTGCCCTAGCAATGACAAGGTGGAGATGGCTCAGAGGAAGTCA